AGGCTAGCATGATTTAACAAAGTTAGGATCAAGTTTGGAGGAGTCAAATAGCTGTGTTAGGATACTTGATGCACAAGCCATTTGAGAACCGTAAACGCGGATTAGTCTTACCAAAGAAAAGTGTAGATTGTGAAGACATGATGTTATTGCTAAGGGAAGATGCTATGGTAATTTAATTCCTGAATTCTCAAGAGCTCTTCAATTAACTTAGCATATGAGAAAGTACAGTGATAAGGGCGAGAAAAGGATCGAAATGTGTCGACCAATCAAAACACGGTTTCAAAAAAGTTTAGAGATGAAAGATATCTGGCCGAAGCTACTTACCTGCAAAAGATCTCCGATGTTGATCACTAGTGCTCCAGGCATTGAAGGAACGTCGATCCACTGGTTCTCATGAAGCATTTGAAGTCCTCCAATTTGATCTTGGAGGAGAATTGGGAGGAAGTCGTTGTCTGAATGCTTTGTCACACCCAGGGTCAACTCGGGCTGTGGGCATGGTGGACAGTAACGGCACATGATCGAGTGTCCCTTTCCCCACTCCATCTCCTTCAAGTAATTTGGGTGGAGTTCTGGGGCTTCTGATACAAGCTCAAACAGACGAGACCAGTCTCATTACATCACACGCTTCGAGTACTCCATCGGCATTTCTCTGCCAGAGATATTGCAATGCATCAGAAAACTGAACTAGAGCTGCCATAAAAGTATGGTCGGCCAGATTCCCAGAGAATACTATTCTGTATCAAGTCGGGTGCAAAAGTTTGCTATCGCTACTGCTAGAATGCAAATAAAGTCAACCGTCGAGGAACATCCTCTTTTTCTACCCAAAAAGGACGGAACGAGCACCTCCGATGTTCCCGTCGGTGAAAATGATCAATCATTGAGGATTCTCTTACTGATTCGTCTCATTGATTGAGACTAGATGCAAGATTATATGCTATGACGGGAAGTGGGCTTTAGGCAAGAAACTTTGTACACATTCAGCGGTAGTAATTGCCTTTGCCAGACTGAGCGAAGAATATGTACACTAACAAAATTAGATATTTCACCATTAATTTCGGGGGTGTTACGCATACTATACCACTAGTTGAACTCTTGCGCTTTGCACGGGTTTGTATATAGTTTTGTTTGTAATTTAGATGGAACTTTGAAAAAGTATACAAGTTTGAACAAAACTATATATTTCTGGCATCGACACAGGGGAAAGTAAAATGAAAATTTCTAAGGAATGCATATCTAAGCAGCTTCAAATATGTTAGTGTACATATTCTTATGATTTGAGGGTTTTTTTGTTGCCGGTAAATTCAGTGTTCATATCACATTCGACGCCCGAGTTGCGCGTGCCATCCCTATGCATGGTTGTAACCTTAACAGGTACACATCGACGCGTGTGATTTACAAATATCTATGAAATTTAATCTAATAAAGGATTTCAGTTCCTTGTGTTATGATATTCATAAATAAATAAATAAAAACAATGGTAGGTTTGTTTCGCAAAAAAAATGTATGATTTGGAAGATATATTCTTAAGAAAGATCGCTTGTATCGCTTACAAAGATTAATAATTAAAAAAGAACTTTTTCATTTTTCACGAAAATGTTTAGTCATAAATCGTTGTCAATAATGAAAATATCCTTCATTGACTAAGTATTTCAAGCGATACAAACGATCATTTTTCAAAACATATTTTTCAAATCATTTATTTTCGACGAAATAAAGTAAAATCACAAAATTGGATCATGACCTTGGCTGCCTCCAGGTTGGGCTGGACCGACCCGAATAATATTTCGTTACTCTTGTGTTTAAGCCACGTTCGTTAGCAATTAACGCCAAACGTTGTCGCTTTGGCATCAGCTTCTGTCTTAGTTGCCACTTCTCCTACGCTTTCAAGGAGAGAACGAGAGACGCTCGGATGAGAAGCTCTTCGACCTCGCTTCACTTCGCCATGGTCTCTCTCTCTCTCTCAATGACTGTGCTTGAGTCGTGGAGCTTCTTCACTAACAACTCCTCCGGCGAAGAAAGTGTCCCTCCAGTTCACCACCGACACCGCGTACTAGTCGAAACTGTTGTTGTACACCACCTTCCTCATTTTGTCGCAAGTCTAGAACACCTACTTTGCCTCGTCGTCTTGCTCGTGGAACCTCCTCACCCCCCCTCCTTCACCTCCTCCATCACGGCCGCTGAAACTCTATGATTCACCACCTAGAAGAACCCCAGCCCTCTCGATTGCCTCCTTCCTCTTGGCACGCCTCCTTCCTCTTGGCCCAATCGCAGAACTTTTAATTGTTCGATGTGGTCTCTGAACTTTTAGTACATGTTCAATTTTATCTCTAGATTATATGAAAATGTTGAATGTTGTCCTTAATCTTTACTTAATAGAAGGTCAACATCAAAAAAATTCATATAGTTTAGGAACTATATTAAACATATACCAAAAGTCCAAGGATTACATTAAATAAATCAAAAGTTCATAGACCACATTGCATATTTGGCCAAAGTTCATGGACCGTTTATGTCATTACCCTTTAATTTCCTGACAAGAGAAAATCCAAATTTATTTCATCCATTCCTTACTCAAGAGTTATTTTTTCTCTTATATGTGATTAATGCACGAGATATCGGAAGAGCTCATGAATCAATAACTAACAATACGGTGACTATTTAAAAGTATAAACAATGCAAAAGACTGGAAATCCAAAATTAAGAAAGATCATGCAACATGCATTCCTATGTTTCCACGCATAAGTTACCCTTAAGAAAAGTACTTGAAGCAAAATGATCCGATTAGTATTTAATTTAGCGTACTCTCATGAGCAGCCCTACATTGAATATTATGACATCAAAACAAATACAAAATCTTCGTAAAATCCAACTGCAAAATTAAATTAAAATAATCGCAATGTTTCGATACTTCTATTTTATGTAGTTCACAAAAAAAAAAAAAAAACTCTCGAATCATAAGAATATGTACACTAACATATTTGAAGCTACTTGGAGATGCATTCCTTAGAAATTTTCGTTTTATTTTCGTCTGCATCGATATCATAAATATCTAATTTTGTTAAAACTTGTATACTTTTTCAAAGTTCCAATTAAATTATAAACAATAACTCAAAGCACGAGAGTTCATCTAGGGGTATAGTATGCGTAACACCCCCAAAATTAATGGTGAAATATCTAATTTTGTTGCCGGTAAATTGAGTGTTCAAATCACATCCGATGCTTAAGTTGCACGTGCCATCCCTATTCATGGATAGAACATTAACCGGTACATGTCGACACGTTTGATTTACACGTACCCATGAAAATTAATCTAGGGTGTGTTTGTTTTGGTGAAAGTATTTTTCCGGAAAGTGTTTTCCGGACTTTCATATGTTTGGTTCTCCGAAAATGATTTGGTCAATGAAAAATACTTTCCGATCAACACAAATATCATGTTTAATTTTAGGAAAGTGAATTCCCTAATCTAAGAAGGTGAAAACACTTTTCAAAATTGCTTATTTTGAATTTGTTAATATTTTTTCTTTTCCTTTCTTTCTTTTTTTTCTTTTCTTAATAAAAATAATTTAAAAATAACAAATAATTTTAAAAATACAAATTTTTTTGATAATTTTCACTATCAGATTTTTCTCACCAAACAACTGAAAATACTTTCCAAGTCTTTTTTAGGTTTTAGCCAAACATCGAAAATGTACTCATTTTCCTGGAAAATAATTTCCTAGAAAGTATTTTCTAGAAATTGTCCATTTTCCGCAAAACAAATGCACCCTAATAAAGGATTCCAATTCCTTGTGTTATGATCTTCTTAGAGAAAAAAAAATTAAGGATGCGTTTTTTTTGCGAAAAATATATAGTTCGAAAGATATATTCTTAAAAATGTTCATTTATGTCGCTTACAAAGATTAATGAACAAAAATATATTTTCATCATTAATAAATTATTATCAACAACGAAGATAGTTTTCAATGACTACTTATTTTTTCCGAGCTATACAAATGATTATTTATTTTCGGCGAAACAAGCCAGAGAGTCCGAAAGTGAAATCACGAAATTGGATCGTGACCTCTGCGACCCGACCCGACCCGAAGAAATCTTTTTGTTTCTCTTGTGCCTTTAAGCCTCGTTTCGTTAGCAAATTCGAGAGAAGACTGTCGCGGGGGCAGGCAGCTTCTGTCTCAGTTGCCACTTCTCTTGCGCTCGGACAAGAAGCTCTTCGACCTCGCTTCGCTTCGCTTCGGCCATGGTGATCATCTCTCTCTCTCTTCCAATGATTGTGCTTGAGTCGTGGAGCTTCTTCACTGAATCTCTCTCTGCAATTCCCCGTTTTTTTTCTTGCAGGATTATCTGAAGACGGCGATTCCTTCGCAGCTCATCTCAGACAGAGGCTCCAATCTCGTCGTCATCAACCCTGGTACTCCCCCACCCCCTCTCTCTCTCTTGTATTGAATTCAATACCTCGATGCGTTGTGTACTGTAGCAGCTTGAACGCGCCTCGTTTCCTTGGCTTTTTGTAGGCTCTGCGAACATCAGGGTGGGCCCAGCAGGACGCGCCTTTCACCCTCCCCCATTGCATCGCCCGGTACACCTCCCAGGTCCCCAAGCCAAACGTGCAAGATCAGGTCCCACGATGTTCCTGACTTCCGTTTTTTTATGTTGGGTTTTTCCGTGGGTGTTTGGTTTTGGCATTGTGGGGTTTGATGGTTTCTGAATTCGTTGGGTTTTCCTTCTGCTTCTTTGTTGTTGTTGTTTTGGAGTTTTTTAGATGCTCAATTCTCAAGTTACGACGGCGCAACACATGGAGCGAGAGAAGGCGTATGATATTGTGAGTTTGACTTCCTGCTGTGCTGTTTGTCTTTAGTTGTGACAACATGTAAATGCCTTGAAATTTTTAAAATTTCTCAGCATTAACTTGTGGGTTAGTGTACCTCAGATAGCATCGTTGTTGAAGATTCAGTTCTTGGATGAGGAGGTCGCGAACAGCAGCTCTTTTTTTTTTTTTTTCAGCGCAAGGTTTGCAAGTTTTCCAAAAAAAATTGTTGACCTTGGTTCTTCATCACCCGAATTGAGCTGCTTTCTCGCTTCTACTTAATCTTTAAAATGATATGGCAGACTTAGAAGAGGCCTCTTGTGTGAACTTCACTGTTTTCATCGTCCAATTATCTTTTTATTCTGTCATTTGAGTTGGCTACTTGAAGGTTCGGTATTTTAAGGCGATTCTCTCGCCTTGTTCTTTGTTTTCATCTTACGGTATTCAAGATAATGAAGCGTTTTCATTCTGTCCTCTGAGGAAGTTTTGTTTCTTTGATGGTTAGTAAAGGACTTGAACGATTTTGACGTCTTTTTGTTGATAACTCTAGTATTTTCTCTTCACTTGTTCTGTGTAAATCTATATTGCATCGTTATCCTTGAGGAGACTGCGGAGTCACTGCACCCTTGGATCTAGTATATTCTCGAATTTAAGTACTGTCAGCTCAGTTCCTGCGCCCCAAAAACATAATTTATAAATAATCCCACCCAGCGCAGCCCAAAAAAGAATAGAAGTCTGCCCAAAGCGCTTGGATGTCTATGTGTCTATGTAAGGTCGTGTATATGAATGGCCTTTGCTGCCTTTTATGTGTATTGTTTTGCAGTCGTCAGTTTCTAATGCATCATGATAGTTGATATTGGAGTTCGTCCATGATTGTGGCGGGCAACCCATTTCCTTGTCAATTTGTTTTCGCAGTGAAAGAAAAACTGACATACTTGTTTCACAGATGGGACATGTTGATGGTTATAATCCACAGAATGTTAGGAAAGATTCAGTCTTTGCTTGGACGGATGTGTATGAGAAGCAAAGTTAGGCTCTGGTAACAGTTCTATATATAAATGTTATTCTCAATTCGTGGGTTAACGATTTTTCTGAGTTAGTTGACTTCACTATGGCAGACCTTTTACCTTTCTCTTTTTACTTGTGTCATCTGCTTCTACTTATTGGTATGTCATAGACTCTTCCCTTGTCTAAGATTTGATGTAGTATAGGCTTCTGTGGATTAAATAGTCATAACAATATAAGAATTTTAGCTTTTGTCTGGACTGGAGAATGTTTCCCATAGACTAGATGCCTAGGATAACAACACTCTACCGAGAAACAGTGATCATCTCTATGTACATTTTGGAACTAAGTAGAGAAATTATACAGTAGATATAAACTAAAAATGCCATACGATTGTTTTGTCTCTAAATTGGAGTATCAGCGATTTTAAGTAGCTTAGATCATTAACATGCCATGAAATGGAAGCTGTCATCCAAAATGTAGATAGCTAGCAGGATGGTGCACTCTGTCAATGTTTGGAACTTCTGACCATCAACCTTCAATCATGTCTGAAGCTGATTTTACAGGCAAATTCTTGTTCTGATTATTTCTCCAATGAGCATACTATATAGTTCTGCCTCCTGTACAGAAGTGGCTGTTGCTGCTTATGTTTTTGAGCAGAAGCATCCAGCTTCAATGCTCCTAGCCTGTAGTCCGTCTACTAAAATTGTTCTGTTGGTTGTATTGGTGCCTCGGTTTGTTTAAGGATGTATTGAGTTGATAAGGTAATGGGTTCTTTTTCATTATTTTCTTGTTTATTCAAGGATATGTGGAGTTGGCTATCAGCTAGACAGCAAAGGTCTTGGTATTTTATAAATAGTTGACGTTGCTAAATGATCTACAGAGTGAAAAGTGGAAGCATTCTTTTTTTCCCTGCTGTGTCCCCTGCATTTATGATTGCCGAGCTATATGCATTATCAAGGTTGTTTTTTTATACACGAGTTGCACAATGCAGTATGATTATTTTTTATGCTGATATTAAATCTGCAGCAAATCTTCAGTATGTGCTTTTGCATATGACTTGCACCCTTGCTTTGCAGATAGCTCAAAGGATAAAGACTTGCCTAGTACTTCGTTGGACCAACATGAAGGAATGGATATGGACTTAGGTGAACGTAAATACAAAAGGTTCATTTGTGGCGAGGAAGCTCTGAAAATATCACCCACAGAGCCTTACTGCTTGCGCCATCCTATCCGAAGAGGTCATTTTAGCATTTCACAAGATTATCCTATGCAGCAGGTGAGATACCCCTAACTATTATGCGTTGAAAGAATTTGCTGTCTGATTATTACTTAGTTCCACTCTCACTCTTAGAAGGTGTAAATTAAGTACATTGTTTAGTTAGATTCATTGGTATCTATAGCCTCATCAAGAGTCATCTCTAAGCATCCAGCAAAACACCTGTAATATAAAGTATCGCATACATCTGCCACATAATACGATAGTAGTATGGATATGGTGAAGTAGAAAAAGAATGATATGGTAAGATGTTGCTCATCCCTATGATTTTGCTTAACAGGTATATGAGGATTTGCATACTATCTGGGACTGGATATTGGTGGAGAAATTGCATATACCCCAATCGGAAAGGTATATGTATTCTGCTACTCTTGTGGTGCCAGAGACATTTGACAATCGTGGTACATATTTGGATTGCTTTCGTTATGTTCAGTAGTTTGTATCCACAAAGAGTTTACTATTTGTTTTTCCGCTTATGCATTTCATATGATTCTCTGTGTTGTAAGTGGATGCATGAACATATGGTTGAGTATAAATAGAGAAATGATAGTGTGGTTTCTTCCTGTGCTTCTTCTTTATTTTTTCCTGTGGTTCATTGGCTGATCTTACTTTGGTTTGTCTTTAGGAATGGATTTCTTTTGTCTACTCTATGATTGAGAAGTAGTATACCATTGCTGCAGCTAAAGATTACTCTGAAAAAAGACCTTTAAGATCTTCAGTTAATGTAATAATCTTTACGTTGACAATGCGAAACTAAAATTTGCGGGGATTAATGCTTTTTTGCGTATTTTTTGCATCTTGTTAAGCAATGAGTTGCCTTTTCTTAAGCTCTACAGCATGGATCAGTAGTAAATTAAGTTGGTCCTTTTTGCTTCAGGAGTTTATACCAGGCACAATTTGTGTGTGTCTGCATTAGAACTTTGGATATAAGGTTGAGTCGTATGTTTGATCTTATATCAACTTCTTCCCACCTTTTTTTTCAAGAACTCTATGATTCTTCAGATGGCGGTGTGTCAGATTCATATTGCACTATGGCATTTCTGTGAGAAAGCACAAGATAGAATAATTGTAAACGAGTTATTGAGGGTTGCCACCCCTTTAAAAATGATTCTCAATAAAAGACCTCTTCAAAAATCAATGAATAAGTTTTGAAGTAAACTTCTCATTTGGTTCTCCTAGAAACTACTAAAATTTCTCTCTTTTAAATCAGCAATAATACTGCTGGGGGAATTGAAATGAATCCTTCAATCTCTTCTTCTCCTTGCTTTTTGATAACATGCATTCTTATCCATGCTTGGCGCTCATTCTTGACCATGGCTCTTAGGATCCTATCCGGACTGTACGATCTTATTTGAAACTTAAGAAATGATTCAAATCTTAAGTAGGACTTTAATTAGCTAGGATCTTTACATGGTCCTGATCGTAAGCTAAAAAGTCAAAAATCAATGCTATCCCACCGATCCAATCTTGACATACGTCAACCTTGAATTATGTGTATCCTAAAATCTATGTAATGGGAATATAGATTTTTCTTGTGCATGAAGTATATAAGGATAGATTCCATCGTGCATAGTCCGACTTGAAATCACAGCAACCCATGCCCGATGCATGTCAGCTTGACATGAATCCCTAAAATTGCCACCACACAATTGTCCTAATTTCTAACCAAATTGGGCAACTTGCTTTGCTGTTGCGTCCTTTTTCAAATAAACTTTTTCGCGAGTTTGACATCCAATTCCAATTTCGGTCGATGAAAATCTATTTATCATGTAGTTCGCCGGATTAAGTACATCCACCATGAATCTTCTAATCATTGTAGCACTAGAGATTATTTTATCGACCATCCTCTATAACATTTTGTTCATCAACTCTACGACTGCTCCTTACCAAAAAAAAAAAACTCTACGACTGCTTAAACAATATTAGAGACCATTTTCACATGCTATTTTCATGTTCAAATGAAAATGAAAACAAAATAAAACTGGAAGATTTTCACTAAACAAACAGCCTGCTTTGCTTTTACCACATCGTCAAGCCATGACATTTAGACTACTCGATTTCGGGCAAGTCAAGCTCGGAGTCTGTCCATTGGGACTCTTCCAAAAGTCATCCACGACAAACCTTTGCCCACTTGTGTTCGTGCTCCATCCGTGCCAGCCACAAATAGAGTTTTTATGGACAGCCGTGTGTCGGCAAAAGTGTCGGAAAAGTCCAGAGCATATCTCATCAAGGCTTTTAATAATTCAGCATTTCTTGTCTAGTTGCTCTCTCCATGGTTCTGTATCACAATTATATGTCACCCAAGACTTCGAAACCATCTTGGTAGCACAAATCAATGTTGCCTTAGAATAATGAAACGTGGGACCCAATTTTTGGGTCTTTCCTCGTTTTTTTTTTCCCGGATCCCCCCTGGGTCTTTCACACCCACCTAACATTTCCACATGCTTTAATCTTCCAATTTGTCAATCCCATTCCTCTAGTCGCAGCCAAAAAAGGATCAACACTTCCAAGGTTAGAAACGCTTAACGCCTAGCAGACAAAATGAGAGAAGGTATGCTACATTAAAAATGACTACAACCAGAGAACCAGATTGGTTGTGTAAAATGCTCGCTTCCATCTCCATCTCCCTCTCTCAAATAACTGCTCAGAGCGGGTACAACCGGTGAACCAGATGTTTATGGATGTCTGCTTGGATGAAACCCCTAAAAGTTTTTGGTTGAAAGGATTCGAGTTCGATTCTTCCAATCAATTTGTATTTGATGTCCACAATTTGGTTAACATTTTTTCCATCGCTTAGATTTTAATTTTCTTTAAATTCATCTATGAAAATAACATAAATACCACCGGCGATCATAATACTTACAGTGTGCGCAAGTTGAACAAAATTATCCCAAATATGCCAAATTTAATTTAAATGAAAGCATGATTTCTTGTTACTGATATGAAATTATTGCTCGATGATAAATTATGGAACCATGTTGATGTGCGTTTAGGATTGACAAATTTTCGACATATCAAATGTACAAGACAAATCACAGAAGCAAGGCTCACACTTGTGGAAAATGTATTTAACAGCGGCAATGTACCTTGTAAATATTCATTTCAACCCACCGGTCAATGTACGTCGGTTCCACACGTGTTTGTCAATTTGACAACACACAAGTGTCATGATTTCTAACCAAACAAGGCAACTTGCTTTGCTTTTACTGCATCGTTTTTTGACAAACTTTTTTTTGTAGATCGATGTTCAATTGCAGTCGATAAAAATCTATGTATCGCTACCTCGTCACACAAAGTGCATCAACTAGGATCTTCTAACCATACTAGCACTAGAGAACAATTTATTGGTTGTCTTTCTTAGCGTTCTGCTCATCAACCACACAATCACTTAAACGATTTTGAAACTGCTTTTCTTTTTCGGAAACAGTTCTGAATACGCAACGAAATGCTTTTTAACATAGTATTTTCACAAAAATGAAAACAAAGAAGGGGCCAATTTTCTCTAAACAAACAGGGGCAACGTGCTTTATTTTTTCCTCATGGTCAAGCCATGAGATAGACTAGCTAGGGGAAGCCTATCGATTTCAGGCATGTCAAGCTCGGACTTCGTCCATTGGGACTCTTCCAAAAGTTATCCACGACATAGCTTTGCCCACTTCTGTTTTTGCTCCATCCGTGCCAGCAACAAATACAGTTTTCATGGACAATTGTGTGCGTGTACGTTGATGTGAGTGTCTTTCTCGAGTGGTCATCATGCTATTAATTTGGAGTGCAATCCATGAAAATTGTTTGGTCAAAATCTAATATAACACTAGCTTTTGAAAGAATATTGCTAGGAGTATTAAGTATTCCTTTTACTGTGACATGTTTTGTTCTTAACAGATAGTAGGAATTCTTGATATTGGCTGAGATGCTTGGATACATCGTATGGACTGGTTTCAGGATGGAATCCATGCCGGTAGCAGCAGAAAGTACAAGGACTCTTACTATATGTCCAAGCACAAAAAGCAACATGTTAAATAAATTCTTGAAAGGTAAAAACAATTGGCGCTCATGGCTACTCCCAATTAAACTGGTCAGCCGACTTGCTCTCATTATGGCTTGAGGGATATTCTAAGTTAATGTGAGCATTTCGCTACTTGATGTTGGAAACTGCACTTGAAGACATTGATTACTGATCCAGATGGGTCTAAATACAACTTATGTGTTTACCAGGCTGCACCAGATGTTGAAGTTTTATATATCATTTTCACTAGCACAGCGATTGCAGCAAGTGGCTTCCCCCTTCTACGTGATCCACGGGCAAGATCATGAGCCTGTTTTTGGGTCTATCCTCTTTTTCTCTTTAGTCCCATTTTTGTAGACCCCACGCGTCTTTCTTTCGCACCGCCAAACATTTGCGCAAGCTTTATCTTCTTATTGGTCAATTTCCATTCCCACTGCGGAGGTTGACTAAAAGGGCAGTCCGGACAATAATGCGAGTGCCCCGTGAACTTTGCGATTGCCATGGGCATTGCTAGGGAGCTTCATCATTGACTGCCAACACTTCTCTTCAACTACGCATCCGCGTAAACACCGCCACATTCACAATCACTTCTCTCCAGAAACAACGTAACGGAGAATTTAACTTATCTACTAAAAACATGTGAATATAATTTCATGCATTGCATCCCTATTTTCGCTCACCTTGTCCGTAATCAAGGAATATAAACTTTCTTGTCCTCTTATTAACAAAATACAAACTATCAAATATTTTGATAATAGAATAACCAACAAAGTTACTTGACCAAACCTTTTCTGGAGTTCGACCTCCGATTGCTATCGATAGAGATCTAATTACCTGGTAGCTCGTCGTTCGAAGTGCATCCACTAGAAATCTCCTAATCAATGCCAGTATTAGAGAGTATTTTATCAGCAATCTCTCGTGACCTTCTGCTCATCAGCTCAAGGATTACTTAAACAATTTTGGGTTTTCCTTTGGAAACTGCTCTCCATATGTGACCAAAGGCTTTTTCAATGCTATAGGCTTTTGGTCTTTCCTCTTTCTTTCTCTAGTCCCTCTTTTTCTAGACCCCACGCGTCTTTTTCTACGTTATCATCTAGTGGAGCGACTAAGCATGAAGTAATATGGAGATGCCGTTGGCCTTGATATATATTCTTGCATGAAGTTGATCACGAGCACCACCAAACCATTGTTTCCCAACAAAAGCATCAGCTCTGCAACCTCCTCTCCAACACTCCGCAATCCTTGCTTTTGCTCTTTAACAAGACATACTCAAAATCTAATAAATGTCCAACCGCAAAAATAAAAGGAAAAAAATTAAAATAATTGCAATGTTTTTTTTTTTTTTGGTGTAAATGTAAGTAGTATGTATAAGATGACGTACAGAAGCTTAGGGGCATTCCCCAGCATTACAAATAGAACTAAGATTACAAAAAAATGGAGTGGGGGAGTCTCCATATAGTAGCCAAAGTTTCATTTGTTCGGGACGGTCTAAAAGATTTGTAGTGCGAAGCTCGCCCTCTAACAAGTTTGCGAACTTTAGCCAAAATGATAAGGGCGTCATTTGAGTTTTGTTGGAAGCGTCAACGATTACGCTCCATCCAAATGCAGTATATGATCGCTAGGAAAGATACCTTCAGAAGTCTCGCCGCCAAGTCCTTACCTTTTGTAGCACTGATCATCCATTTAAGTTCATCATTCCATCCTTCTACAGGGCGTCGAATTCCTTATTGTGCAAGAATAGTGCACCAAATGCTTCCGGTCCAGGTGCACTGGAAGAATAGATGGTCTCTGCTTTCCAGACCGGACATACAAAAATTGCAATGAATATCTACTTCAGGCTTCCAACGTGATATGATTTCTGCCGTGATACAAAAATAATTGCAATGTTGCAATACTGTATGTGCTGTTTACAAAAATGTCTCAAATTATACGAATATGTACCCTAATATACTTGAAGCTACTTAGAGATGCGTCACTTAAATTGTTCATTGCAATATTTTCATCTTTGTCTATATCATAAATATAAAAGCTTCATTGAATTTATATAAGTTCCAAAATACCAAATAAACAAAAAAAGAAGAGAAAAAGGTCACTTCTGGTTTATGTATGCTCCTTTGTTTTCTGGAATCTTTTATTTATACATAGAAGCAATTGATACAATCAGGATCATTATGCTCTTTCCTTGCCATGTCGCCGTCATGTTTTCTTCACTATATTTAGTTGTTGACTAAATGTGGAGATTAGCTAGTCATGCAGCTTCAATTCCGTTGTATTGGCAACTACATGATACGCAGCATCATTTAGTACGATGTCCAAATGTTAAATGGGTCGATTTTGTAGATGTTTTATATTGATGGCATAAAGGACGTCATTCTATCTATGCTTCTAAGTTGTAGTTTGCCAAATTTCTTAAAAACATGTCTTATTCAAAGGTTGAGCCTTGTTTTTTCTGGCGTCTCATTTCTATCACATGACTTGAGTTGGTTACCGTTCATCTTATACTTTGAAGAGTTCGTCATGAAGGTTAATTAGATGTGCAGTATTCTTAAGCTGTGACTTGTGAACAGTGCATGTGAGATAGAGAATTCCATTAGGATTGACGTTTGTGCACTTCTGGATTGAGCAAAACGAGTTGTAGTTTTTTGTTTAACAGTGCATATGAACTCTGTGCGTCTTCAACAGGTTTTGCAATCAAGAACACACCCTACTTTTGTGCCATGGAAAGGTGGAGCGGTAAGATAAGCATTGTATCATAACATTTTCTCATTTTTTTTCTATAAGAAGATGAATTTTGTCTAAGACTCTGTATATTTGGTGAGTTGAACATGACTCTATTTCCTTTCCTACCTGATGGAGAATTGAGAGCTGTTTTTGTGAGAAACTCCGTTGGTTTCTTGATCAAATATGCAAAACATATTCATTGACATCTCTTTTTCTTGGCAAACGATTTTGGCAGTAATGGCAAACATTGCATTTTCAAAAAGTATGCACCTTTTTGAAAAATAGCAGACATTACATTTACAAAAAGTATGAGCCTTTTTAAAAATGGCATCACACAAAAAAGCTCCTTCAAATAGAGACATGCCCTGTTCCATGTTAATGCAAACTAGTCACATAACAGTGATGCTATCCTCAAGTCTAACCTTGTCATGATCTCTTAAATAGTGTATTTGAACACTGGCTAACTTAAATTTTTTTCACCAATGTTGATGTCCATCATTCAAACTTGCAACTTCTTATTGATGAGCTTACTTGTTCCATGAAGTTTGTAGCCTTTCTTGAGCGGTCATCATGCTATTAATTTGGACATCATGCTATTAATTTGGAGTGCAATCCATTAAAATTGTTTGAGCACAACTTGATATAACACTAGCTGATAGAATATTGCTAGGAGTGTTCTGACTGGTTAAGTATTCCTTTTTTACTGCGGCATGCTTTGTTCTTAACAGATATTAGGAATTCTTGATAATGGCCGAGATGCTTAGATACATCGTATGGATTGGTTTCAGAATGGAATCCATGTTCGTAGTAGCAGAGAGTACAAGGACTCTTACTATGTCCAAGCACAACCAACATGTTACATAAATTCTTGAAAGGTAAAATAATTGGGGCTTATGGCTACTCCCATTAAACTGGTCGGCTGACATGCTCTCATTATGACTTGCGGGATATTCTAAGTTTATATGAGCATTTCGCTACTGGATGTCGGAAACTGCATTTGAAACATTGATTGCTGATCTTCATGGGTCTAAACACACTTATGTGTCTACCAGGCAGCAACAGATGCTCAAGTTTTAAATCATTTTCACTTGCACAGAGGTTGCAGGAGGTGGCTTCACCCTTTTACGTGATCCACGGACCAGGTCATAAGACTGTTTTTGGGTCTATCCTCTTTTTCTCTTTAGTCCCCTTTTTTGTGGACCCCGCGCGTCTTTCACACCAGCAAACAATTGCAGACGCTTGTCTATCCTCTTTTTCTCGAGTCGATTCCATTCCCACTTGCCAGGATTCGATCTCAAGAGAAAATGAACAAAAGTGTGTTGGCGCCCCTCTCTTTTGTTGAAAATGGTCCCGTGGTGCTACATCAACATTACATTGTCTGCAAGAAAAAGGAAACATTAGTCAAATTAATGGAGGAAATCATGATCAACATAACATTAAAAAACCAGAGTAATGGTCCACATAAAGTCGAAACCTTACGCCTCATTTGTTGTTATGGTCTATGGGAGGGAATCAAATTATGGCAAAGTGGGAATGGAATTGACCCAATAACGAAGATAAGCATGAGCAAATGTTTGGTGGTATGAAAGAAAGACGCGTGGGGTCCTTTGCAAATGTTGGGTGGCGTGAAAGGCCACCACAACAGTCCCAAAGTTGTCGGGAGTTCACTTCAATCAACCTCCACAGCCATAAGCCTATTCATGCACAACGATGGATTTGAAGAAAAGAAATGGGAACACTCACTCCTGCTTGAACTTCTCGTTGCATTACATGGAAATCAAAGCGGCAACATTTCGTTCCTTGTGCATATTTTGATGAAAAATATTTATGCTTGACATGTTAAGCTACTAACCTTTCTTCTTCTTCTTTTTCTTTTGAAAGAGTGAGTACGTAACATGGCATAGGTAATTAAGATTTCATTTGGAGTATCCTAAGGTATCCTCCTTAGGAAACCAGATGGGGTCTCATCTCCAAAGGTCTTGCCCTTAGGCCTTACGGGATGTAAAACTCCAAAGGGCTATTCCCTCCCTCCCGTGGTAGAAAATCTACAGAAGGGAACATTGTGGCCTTGGGATTGTCCGGCCGACCGGACGTAAAACAAGCCGCGTATGCTACTGGTTAGCCTTACTAGGGTTGGTTAGTAGCGCTCTCAAGGTGGCTATGATCCCTAGGGCTTTAGTAACCAACCAACTCCCCCTAACATGGCATAAGTAATTGATTTTTTTCCTCTAAATGAAGGGGGAGCCAACCCCATTTGTGTCGTCCTTTTCGGAATGCATGTATCTAGCCGACGGGCAGCCGACGGCAGTCCCAAAGTTGTCAGGAGTTCACTTCAATCAACCTCAACAGCAGTGAGCCTATTCATGCACAATGATGATTTTGAAGAAAAGAAATGGGAATAGTCACCCCTGCTTGAGCTAAGGGGCCATGAACTTCTCTTTGCATTACGTGGAAATTAAAGCGGCTACATTTCGTTCCTTGTGCATATATTGATGACAAAATATTAATGTTCTTGACATA